TGCATTTCCCTGCTGCTCTAGCTTGGTCCCCTGCACGCGTGTCCGTGACTCCACGTATGAAGTCCCCGCTCCCAGCGCCTGGCAGAGTTCTCCTGCGAGGGGGAGTGTGGAGGGAGCAGAGAGTGGGGAGTGCCAGTGGCTGGCTGATGCCTCCCCCAGCTGGCTGCCTTTCTTTCCCTGTGCAAGGCCAGGATTTGCAGGGAGGACCTGGGCGGCCAGTTGCCAGCCCTGGGAGAGAGACTCCCAACCCTGCGGGCCGTGCCCCCCTGTGCTGGCTTGGTTTGGCTTTGGGATTTTTGGAGTGGGGGAGGGGCCCCAGGGGTGGCTCCTGGAAGAAGCTGAGAAGCTCCACCTGCTCCAAAACCAGCCATGGAGCCGTTTTGGAGACAAGAGATGCACCTCTGCCTTTGACATAGGAAAGAACTGAGCTAAGACCTGAGCCAAGCGAGCAGTTAGGAAAAAGAAGAGCTGTGCTGGAGATGTGAACTGCGGTGCTGGGGTGTAGATGCCGGCTGGTTGGCGAGGAGGAAGGGGAAGAATGTGCCCAAGCAGAAGTTTTCCCTGCAACCGTGGTGGAATGTTCCCTGAAGGCGCCAGGAGGGGTGAACTTGGCCTGTGGACTTGGATTATGCAGCTGTGGAAGACCCTGGTGCCAGGGGAGGTCACTGTCCCGTAAGCAGCCCGTGACTCCGTAGGAAAGCCATGCTGGAGCAGCTTGCTCCAGACCTGGTGGGACTCACGAAGCAGAGGTTTGTGGAGGCCTCTCTCCCGTGGGAGGGACCCTGTGGGGAAGCAGGGGAAGACTGTAAGGAATCCCTTCTTCCTGAGGAGGATGGCGCAGCAAGAACCACCAGCCTGTGAACTGACTCTAAACCCCATCCCCATCCCCCTGTGCTGCTGTGGGGAAGGAGGGAGAGAAATGGGGAACCAAGTGATTTGTGCCTGGGAGGAAGGGAGGGGTGGGGATAACGTGTGTGAGCACTGCTCTTGGTGTTGTCTCTGTCCTGTGGACATCAGTGTGTCCTTCATCTTGACCCATGAGCTTCTAGTTGGCCTTTGTCTTCCCTGTCGCCTCGTGTTTGTGTGTGTGTATGAGGTGGGGGGAGTGAGCAGCCAGGGGGATGTTTGTTGCCAAGTTAGTCTCAAATCAGTACAACCATTTTCCCTCTGCCTTTATGCCCCCCAGAGGTGTGGCCAGGAAGCGTTGCCCACCACACCCATCACTCTCCCCATCCTGCAGTTGCTGGCCCAGCAAAGAGGAGGTAGCACTGCAGGTTGGCTTCTTCTGGCACCTCTCCCTCACCCCACAGGAGCAGGTGTCCTGCTTTACCATGGTATCCTAAGCACGTTTAGCCTTGTGGTGTAGATAATGTTCTTGAAGGGGCCATGACCACAACCATGTTAAAAGGACATGGTAGAAACACAGGCTAGAAGCTGCACAGGTTTCTTTATGATTCTCCTTTTCCATTTTTCTTGCCCCCCAGGCAACTTGAAGCAGTGCAGATAAAATGCTGCAAATAAATCTGTCTCAAAGACCCTCTGTGCCAGAGCAGAGCCCATCACCATCGTACCCACTGAGCTCTGTGAGCACCAGCAAGCCAGTTGCAGGGAGGTTGCAGGAGACCTGTGGGGCTGCCAGGACAGCACGGTGGCCCACAGAGGGTGGCCCAGACACCCTCCAGGACAGGACACAGCAGCGACGGTTCCCACATGTACTTGGTTCTTAGGAGCAAAAAGAATAAATTGGTCTCAAAACAGCAAGGCACTCCCTCTGTTTGGCAAAGCAAGGCTGATGTGGAAGGTGAAGGTCAGGTATGTCAAAGATGATGAAAGGAAGATTAAGTAATGGAACTGGAAAAGTCCGTCCACAGTGTCCACAAGCTACCTGGGAGCACAACTCCACATTGTGAAAGAAGGTCTTTTTACAAACTCTTCTTGAGATAAGGGTGGAGGAAGGCAAAAAACCACAACCCAAACCATGACCACCACCTAAGCCCAGGGGATTGATGAAGGCAGTGACAACAACCACAAGTAAAACTGGAGGTGGACAGAAGTTAAAATGCATGTTTCATTGTTTATCACACCACCTTGTGTGTCTTCCTTTTGGCATCGACCCAAACAGAAAAAAAACTAAGACCCAGCAGCCTGCCCCTGCTGCACCACCGGTGACAGGGGGACAGGGTGTGCCCAGGGACAACACCCAGCACAGCACCTGCCCCTGGTGGGCAGCATGGGACCCATCCTGGCCCAGCTCCCCACCCTGCACCTCAAGGGAGCCTGAATCACCACCAGCTGCTCCAGTTCAAAAACACAGAATCATGAAGTCATCATGGTTGGAAAGAAGATACAAGATCACAGAGCCAAACCGCCAACATAATAAAAACAAAACAAAAACCACCCAAACAACCCCAAACCCAACAAACCAAACACCCCACCAACCCTCCCCCCCCTGCCCCAACCTCAGCCACTAGAGCATGCCCTGAAGTGCCACATCTGTTCTTTCAATACCTCCAAGGATGGTGACTTAACCACCTCCCTGCAAACGCTGTTCCAGTGCCTGACCACTTTCAGTATAGGAATTCTTCTCAATATCCCATCTGAACCTCCCCTGCTGCAACTTCCAGCCATTTCCCCTGGTCCTTAATTAAACCCTGGTGTCCGATACAGGTTTCACTACATTCCAAGCATTGTGCTAAGGCCCCTTTTCCTTCAACAGCAGTGGTTCCTCTTGTGATGTGGTTTGGGGTGGTTTGTGAGCTGCTTTTTTGTGTGTGTGGGACGTTTGTCCCCTCATGGGGAACAGGCAGTAAATCAACCCCCACAGGACTCTCCTGCAAAGTTCCTGAAGGCTACTTTCATTGTAGCACAGAGCACCCTGAAAATAAATACAAATGGCTTGGAAATACCCCAAAAATACTATCCAGACACAGCTTCTTGTGTAAAACACTTCCCTGCAAATACGAGTTGGCAGACTACGAGAATAAACACCTTCATAGTAGCCATTTCACATTATTTCTAAACCTTAAAAAACCCCACAGAACCTGAATATTTGTAGCCATTAATGTGATTCCCAAGAATACTTTTGAATTCAAGTTGACATATATTCAGTCACTAAATATACACAGATAAACACAGTTTTGCATCCTCTTCAAAGCAAAGCTGTGTGGAGTGTGGAAGTCATGCAGGGAAGTGTCCTGTGGAGACCAACCATACACCCAGTCCAAGTAGTAACACACTGAGAAGAGCTTCCTTAAAACACACCCTGTTCTATAGAAACATGGATTCACCTACCTGCCAAGAGTTTAGGGTTACACACTTCATCACCTGCCACAGCACGTGGTTTTAACATGTGTTTATGTACATCACCCACTGTTTGTACATGATCTGATTCTGTAGACAGCTGGAATAAACAAAGCTGCAGAAATTTCTGGAACGAAAATGGCTGGTAATATATTAAAACCAAAGAAAATAAACTGAACAACAGTCTTGAAAATGCTTTATTGAACCGTGTGTCTTATTGTAATGTGCAGAAGGATGTGTTTGAAAAGACTACAGCTTGAAAAATTTTTTTAAATCCTCAACAATCAATAAAAAAGTCCCTACTGGGAGTAACTCTCAGGATAACCAGAGGCCTCATGTGAAGTTTCCCTTGAAACATTTCCTGTTGCAAAGACTAAAAGAAAACAAACTAGTACTGCTCTCTGTGAAGACAACCAGGATTTAAGGATGTAAAAACAAAATAAAACAAAACAGGAATGGAACTTAACTTCAGTCTATGGGGTTGCTTCTTTTGCTACTATTATTTAGGATTAGCATACATGTCACAGTTCTGCTGAGAACACCATCTGGTGTTCAAGTCTGTAAGTTTACGCTAAAATGCTAGCAATGCTTTAGAGATGGAAGGATGCAGAGAAAGAGAGAGGGGGGTGATGTGAGAAAGATGTGGAAAGACACCATTATGATATAAGCCTAGTTTAAATTTTCATCAGAAGCTGTGTGCACTTTTATTTTTATCATCTAGCTTTACATTCAAAAAAAACTCACCAAAATAAAAAAAAAGGGGGGGGGGGGGGAAGAGGGGCAGGAACCAAAACCAAACATACCCCCCTTATGTCCTTGCCTTGGGGTTATTACAAACTTCTATGCACAAGAACACCATACTTTTTCTTTTTCTTTTTTCCAAACCAGTAGGGTTAACAGTATAGGCATTTCAAGTGGCACAATTCCACTAAAAGGCTTTTTCAACTTTTTTTATACCAGCAAAAATAACCAAAAGAAACAATAAATAAAAGGTGCTAAAGTTAGCATCAAGAATTCAATCGTAATATACTGACAATCTGGGAATCCAAACACTCAAGCTCTCCTGGTATTGACAGGTCTCTGCAAACTATGAAGCAAATACATAAATAACTCAAAATATGATTGAGACTGTGAAAGGCTTCTTAAACTAAGACAGGATGATCCAGGTTACTTTTTTTTTTTTTTTTTTAAACACAGTGAATATATGAATTGTCTACACCTGAATAAAACATATTTAACAATGAAAAAATTTTAACAACCACAAAAAGGAAAAACTTTAAACAAAAGTGAGTGTCATTTGATTTTAGGGCACAGAAAAGCCCCCCTTGCAGTAGCTTCCAGCAGTGGGCTTAATGGTGTGTCTCCTACAAAAAAGTTCATCTCCACACTGAGGTGATGGCTGACAGAGCAACATAATGGTCACATACAGCAAAATGCCACACCCTGGTCACCACAATTTATCCCACTGCAGAGTTTCCATCCTGTGCGGGAACAGCACATCAAGGTGTCATTCTGTCACATAACACTGAAAAGCTACTTTGTGGCCACAAACTGCTAGTCAGCACTAACCTTTTTGTCTCGTAACCTTTGAATAATGGAAAAGCTTTGGGTTTTATAGTTTTACTCCTTGTATTTAAATTTTTAAATTACAAGGTCACTAAAACTCATGCACGCTGCAAAAAACGTCATGCAGTAGTTAAGGTAAACCATCCAAGCAGTTTTTATTCATTAATATTCATAAATACACACAGCAGCTTCATTAGAGATTTTTCATTTTTTTTTCCTCTTCAGTTTGAATGTGGAGTATTAGGAGAGCCTTTTGCATGTCAAGGTACAGGACACAGAGCTTTTTGCTCTGCACTGCAACCTACATTTACCTGCTAAAAGTAAAAATTAGTTAAGTGGAAATGATTATCATATATATCTTTTCTCTCTTTCTTTTGAATGTACACAATGTAACAAGAGTGACAGACCTGAAATTACAATCACCAAAACAAACCCAAGATAGTTGTTGTCCACTTTCATTGGCAAATACAGCACAGAGGACATTGTCTGCAAAGTGGGATGTCATCAAAGAGGAGGTGGAGGAGGCTCGTTTCCTTTATTACTCTCTTTTAAATTTAGGGTTTCTAAAGCAACATCTAGAGGCATAATATCTACACAGCCCATAGCACCAAAATCTGCAATCTCCCCCCGCTCATCCTCATCTGAGGAGGAACTTTCTTCCCGCATCAAAGTGGACAGTAGAAGCTCCTGAACAAACAGGCTGCAGTCTGCCCGTTCGCTTTCCATCGACTGACGCTCTGCTTCCGACATCTTCGGATCGTTCAACCTGTACAGCAGCAAGGGGAGAGAAGACGCCATTGTTGAAATCCCAATTCACTGATGACACGACAGACAAGGCACTTGGAAACTGCTCCTTCAGGATAGTCCTGCTTGCCCTTCACAATGAACAGCTCTGGCAGCCTCTGACACCTCTGTGCAACAAGCACACATGTCACAAACCACCCTTTCCCTGTTGCATTCAAAGGGGAGCCTAAAGTTACAGGAAAATATAAAACTACTGTGAGGTTTCCTGCTATTCAGGACACTTTGAGGCAGTGCTGTTGAGATTTCTGAGACACTCACTAAGTGCCTGCTTTGTTTCTAAGCCAATTTCTTAATTCATGTATGCCACAGACCACATTAATCCATGTATAAAGTCTAGGAACTGCCGTAAGTATTGCCAAACCACAATCCAACACTCATTCTACCATTTCTAACTTACTGTGCATGCCCTGATAGGGAAGGAAATTGCTTAGTCCAACTCTCAATGTCACAATCTGTGACACAGGTACATTTAAATTTCTCAAATAGTAACGAGCTTTTGATTGAAAGATGTCACATGATGTTATTTTGCAACTAGATAAAAATTAGACTGGCTTTAAATCCAGGCTTCTTGACACAGGAGCTGTCAAAATGCCCACATTCTTTCACAATACCAAACAGACAAATAAGACCCTCTATAGGGGGGTGTGGCAGAGGGGATCTTGAAAACATTTTTCTTTCAGGTCAATAGCCAACCTTGTAAAAGAACTAGACTAACACAGTGGGTGACTCCTCTTTAAAATAACCCTGGGATCTGTGTATAATTTATAAACCAGGTAAGTATTCTGTTAATTAATGGCATCCTTTATCTACTTTCTTATCCAGTCTCTAAAATAATCAATATAAAAGCCCCTATTCAACCTTCAGCTTTTACTAAAGATTAAGTTCCTATTAGACAATACTCTCTTCTGACTCCTCCCTCTCCATTACAGCTCAAGTCTATAGGCTTGTATCACTGGAAACAGACTTGTTTTGTTGGAAGCAGTAGGGTAAACAAGGACAATTTATTTAGGAAATACTCCTTTTGCTCCTCCTGAAGCTGAGATGCAGCAACTAATCTTTACCCATTGCTCAGAAGCAGAGGGAGAGCAGGTTTGAAAAGATGTTACAAATGCAAACAAAAGCACAACATGTTGGCTGCAGACTGGATTAAGTGTCTGGCAGAAGTCCCCTGCATGGAGTTGTAAGTAACTTATGCAGCCAAAATTCAAAACCAAACTCCTTCTCAAGGCTTGCAGAAATCCATATCCAAGTTAACCCTTTTAACATGTTTCTAGGTGAGTCAAAAAAAGTAGAGTGCACTTGTCAGGCTGCCTTTCCTTTTTGCAAACACTAGAACATTTGCAAACACTAGGATATTTCCGCAGCCAGCTATCTCCTGAAGTTGGCTTCCCAAAAGCAGAGTAATTCTTTAGGCCAGCTACAAACTGCTATTCTTTGATATTTAATTACTGGTTTTACTTTCACACAAGAAATGCGGATGAAGCAAGTTTTATGTATTACACAGTCTATGACTACTGCTGATGTCTACAGTGAATACATTCTGTATGATTAAATTAGCCTGCTAACACTGTGATGTATTTGATCAGGCATTGTTTAACCAGGGCACACATCTAACTCCAAACATGTTTCATTGAGCTCTATGCCTCTATCCAGACTAAGGGAAACAGAAACGATAAAGGGTAAACACAAGTAACTACACAAAATAAGTTACCTTGTAAGAAGAAACTGGGAATTCTGGATAGTCTGCTGACTGTTTTCTGTGTTAGATGTGTTGGTTGTTGTTGTAGACTGTGTCATAGTGGTGTTGACATTGATGGTGTTGGTGCGTCTAGTTGCATTGCGTGCAGTCTCCAGCTGTTGTCTTGCTGCCTGTGCATGTTGTCTTTCCAACTGCAGTTGCATCTGCAGCTGCTGTAACTGAGAAGCAGAAGGGCCAGAGGAGTTGAGCTGTCCTCCTGCAGAACGCCTCACGCCTGATAGCTGAGATAAAAGTTCTGCCAGAGAAGAGAAAGTTTCTATGATGGAAGATCTTAAACGAGCATTACACAATGGAATGAACAAACTCTGAATTCCAGTACATCAATTATTTATTTTTTTTCCATCAACAAAATCAAAGAACAAACAATTCTGGAAGTTCTTGAAAAAAGTCTTGAAACTCAGTGCCTCAAAGGGTAAGGCAGATTAGGACTCATTTATGCGGATTTATTCCAAAGTTTAACGCCTTCAAAGTAACAGGAGAGCAAATCCACAGGGACTGATTGGCAAATGATGTTCTCTGCAGCAGTCGTCTGAAACTTCCAAGTTAAAATAGCAACTGACTAAAACTACTTTATTTTGGCCTTGGTCAGCAATTCTATTTTCCACTCAATGTGCCCTCAAAACACAGGCTTCACCTTCCCAATAACCCAGAGGCAGCTCTGCTGAGCAGAGAAAAATTTTGTACTATTGCTTCAAACATGGAAATAAAAATAGTTAATTAAGAAAACATATTAAAATACTGCCTCACAGAAAAACTAACGCTGCCAAGAATTTTTGTTATATGAATTTTTATTTCTGCCAGAAGTGCAGAGGCCTGGCAATTAAAAAAAACTCTGTCCGTAAGTCTTCCAATTCGGAAGGATGGAATGCCTATAGCAATTTTCACTCACAATTCTTTGAAATAAATATTAGTAGCAAATTACTGCTCAGTGCAGTAAATGACAGCAAAATCTCCCCTATACCCTGTGTAGAAAGTACTTCCTGTATGCGTGCTGTAGCTGATGGAAGGGCAGAGGGAGTAGGTAAGAGTTGCTCCTGCCCCTCAACTCTACATTACAAAGTTACTATATAGGTCATGACAATTTTCCTTCCATTGCATTAACAAAATATGAACCTTCTAAATCAGGCTTTCTTTGAGGTAATAAAGCAAAATGCGGTTTTCCATGTCAGGAACTCATGATGGTCAAGTCATTTTTACCAGCACTGACAGCAATATCATGATTAAATGACACATTTTTTCTAAATCTTCTTTTCTCCTTATGACATTTTCTAGTAATTACAAGAATTTTAACAGATGCTGGCATAGTTGGACCACTGCATAAACATAATTAGATTTTTCCTTACGAAGAGTTATATTTGTTTTCAGAATTGTCTTCATTCTTTATTTTTTATTTCCTGTAAAAAACCAAGTTATTTTCACATGAAAGCTAAACATATGACAAGTTATTTCTCGGAACACTAAAGAGATAATTTCATTATTTTCTGGGGCTGAAAATGAGACACCCTTCTCCTCTCACATTTTTTTAAAACTTGTCCAAAACACACTACAAATACTTTCAACAGTATGTTTATGTAAGAATTTACAAACTACAGCTGAAAAAAAAAAATCTGTGATATTAGCAAATATGGCATTCAAACAGCACAACCAAACACAATTAAACTGAACATTTTAAATGTCCATGAGTATTCAAATTCAGCTAATTTCATCATCATTAAGACAGATACTCTCTTCCATAAACACCTTTATCCACATGGCCAATTAAAATGAGATGTACTGATGTAGATAACAGAAACTGGAAGCAGTCACTGGTAGAAACATACAATACCTGTACATAGATTAGGTTTTGGAATAAGCCTTACAGTGTCTAGAATTACAAGGACAAGCTACAGGCAGTGGCTTCAGCTTTGTCACCTCCGTGCACAGGCCGTGACAGCCCAGCTAAGCACACAGCTCACCTACAAGCAGCCACCAATCACAGCCACACCCACACATGCAGCTTCATGACAGCAAAAAGCAGGGTAACCACAACCATTTTGAATTTTACTTCCATCATGGTTACAGCTCTTACCAGCTATAGGATCCATGGCTTCCCTATTGCTTGGAGAATATGAACTCTGAGAAGATGAAAGCCCACCAGGGGAACTGGTAGTAAAGTGCATGTTTGATCTACGTGCACGGGGACCTCCCAAACCCCGGCCTGGGTGGAACATCCTACGTACATGCCGAACACCACTGGATTCATCATAACCAAGGTGTTAAGGAAACTGAACTGTTTGGCATTGAGTATTAAATGACCAGGACATTTGATGAGTGAAATAATCAACGACACACTCCATCATTCATAAGATAATAACTCAGCTTCTGAAGCAAACTAAGGTACACTGTAGTTCTGGTGCAAGTCAAACTTACTGATCTGACCTCAACACTCATTGCTGTTCAAGCCAAACTCCCTGTACTTCTCCAGCCTTTTATGATGTCTATGAAACATCAGCAGTAATTTCTTTGTTACTTTAGATCAAAGTTTTCTACTCAGTAATCTGAAAACTGACAAATGCATGTTCAGCCAAGCTTATTAGAGAGACTTCAGAGATTTTATTCTTTCTCCCGATTCTTAAGTATTGAAAATAATAACAAAGTTTATTGACATCCTTATGAAAAGAACCTAATAATTACTGTATTCCTTTTGACTTCTGTACTTCATGCTTTTATCCAAGAAACTTAATCACTTCAATCCTTAATAAAATTTAGGTTTCTGGAGTTTTCAGCACTTCCATCACACTACTTTGTTTCTCCGTTTTTTAGCACAAAATAGTATCACTAATTCCAGTTATGACATTTCCCATTCTCCCCCACTTCTCCTAATCAGATGCTTAAATTTCAAGTCATACCTTTTAAAAGTTCTCTCAAATAAACTGAGACAATCAACAAATTACTTAAGAAATATTTTGTCAGGAAGTTGTTGGAATAAAGGACCTACCTTGCAATGGTTGAACAAGGTTTATATAAGAAACACATGCAGCCTTCTGGGACAGCTTAAGAAAAAATTCTACAAAAACCAAAATAAACCGTATGTATCTGATCAGTACTTAGATTTGGCCTCAACTGCCTTTATTGTGGGTGTGGTGGGGGTTGGCTGCTTTCCCACTCTACAAGTCAGCACTGCAGTTGCCTGCTCCTCTGAGAGAGGCGAGTGCTGCGTGCAGACCCTCAGTCCCACCAAATTTCACCAGAAGGGAGAAAGGAGTCAAACTGTGACACATTCCCAAATAATAAGTCATCTGGTGGTAGCCCTGATACTGAAGGGGTAGAAAAAAACTGCAGAAGCATGATTTCTAATCAAACTTCTTACATATTTCATGAATTAATTTCACTCTGTAACTGGGAAAATGTAAATTTCCTACAGAGTTCCTGGCTACAAAGCAGTCAAGTCAATGCTGAGACCCCCAGTTTGATCACAAACACAGCACACTACTAAATCTGGATACATGAAGCAGCAACAAGACTAATGACTGGACAGGATAAACTAGTGCAAATAGAAAAACATCTCAGTCTCAAAGTTATTAAAATGTTTTTGCTGTTAGAGCAAAAAGCACAGTCAAATGTACCTACAGTCTGTTCATGACCTATTATAATTTTTAAACTAGCAAATGAACCTTTTTATATTTCACATAGAAATCTTTAGTGACTTAAGTTCCAGGAAATATGTAGGTATGACCTTTTGACTATAAAAATCAAACAAGTCTTCATGGCTACTAGGTGAAACAGGCTAGCCTCCTTGCATGCTTGGAAAGGATATTAAATCTCTAGGAGCTCTGTGTTCCAGTGTAAGATGAGCCGCAAAGTCATCTGTGACATGATTTGGATCCCCTCCAGGTAATGCTGCACATATTGGACAAATCTGAAATTGAAAGTGAGGAAAAACAAAAAAAGTCATAAGTTTTACATAAAACAGAACTTTTATAATGAAGTCAATCATTAGATGTTTATTTTTTATGCTTTAAAATCACATTCTAGGTGTTCAAAAACACCTGGACAGCAACATATTAAAAAAATCCAGACAATCTATTCAAGCACAGACATTAGACATCTTTTACTATATGATTTTTCAGAATGCTTAGAAAACCAGAGCTAGAATTTTCTAATTCAATTTGTAATGCGGTGAAAATTAAGCCTTCGTACACTGATTCTACCACAGACAGTAAAGTCTGATTACCCAGGATTACTACTTGCCTGCTTGATGCTCATGCCAGAAGAGGAATTGGAATGCAACCACACTTAAGTATTTGCTGAAGCATCAAACTGAGACCGCCCATCCAAGCAGTGCATACCTACAGGGTTTGGCACAGGGTTGACATCCATATCCCTAAACAACAGCGCTTCAGGAGAAAGCACTGACCTCTGTCTTTCATTGCTGTTGTTTTTTTTAAATGAAAACAGTAACTAAGTAGACACAAAGAGTGACATTACAATTGTCATAATTACAACTTTTTTTTTTAGTAACTCCACAAACAGCAAGAAAAGCAGCTTCTGTTTTTCTTCACAGGGGTTTTGCAAACTGACTTTAAAGTTCTACAGATGGCAGAAAAAAAATCCATTTCACAAAATTCTGCCCCAAATGTTAAGTGCTCAAATGAATAGCACTTTGACACTTAAATGCAACTGCTGTATATGAATTTATCTCTCTGTTCCTCACAGTCAAATAGTCTTATCTTTATGGAGCAACTCTGGCTGCAACTCTGGCTGCAACACAAAGCCCAGGTTCCCAGTGCTCTTCATGAATACACTCAAGTTGAGACAATGGGTGTTAAGAACAGCCATACAGCAGCACAAACTTCTATCTTCTCTTATGGAGGTGAGGACAAATTCTTGAATTAAGTTTACTATAAAAATCTCAGCTGCTTTTGACAGCAGCTGCTACATCTTTTTAATGCCACTTTAATACTAGTAGTCAGCTTGGAGCAGAAAACCACGCCAGAAAGATAACTGCAAAAATCTTGTCGATCATGCTCACAGAACATCTACCAGTTTCCACCATTGTGCTTGCAATTGCCTCCATATTTACATACAAGGCAAACCACTTTAACTGGGAGTATTTCTGTGACTTCAACAAAATCTTCAAGAACATAATACAAACCATTCAGACTGCTTCTTTCTATTTCACTACTGAAGGAGAAACTCCTCAATCTTACCAGCAACTTCAGAACCTACTCCTAACAGTTCACATACAAGGAGACTAGTTACTGCCTTACTAAACATAAGAAAGTTGATGCAGTGCAATGTAACAAGAAGACAATCTACGTCACTCTTCTGAAGGGAGATTCAAATATGACATGTGATGAAGTTTCCTAAAATTTTTGTATTTAGAGTCCTAGTAGACTTCTAGTTGGATGATGTATTTCATTTGGAACAGCTGACTGACCTGAAACCCAACACCAACAATAACAATCATTACAGTGACAACCACATTCTTCTGCACTTACCTTCTAATGCTTACCATCACACTTGGACATCTACTAGTGAAGAAATACTGATCATTATTGAGGTTTTAGTACTCACCACAACCTTATGATTTATTCTTTTTAGGCTGTAATCTTAGAGATTTAATCAATCGCAAAACTTTTGACTACTTTCAGAGACACCAGTATTAATTTTCAGTTAAAGTACCCAGAATTAAAACAATTAGCTTCAAGGAATTACTATTCAACTCTCCTTATGGAGTTCCTCTCCAGGACTCAAACATGCTGGTGTGCCTCTCCAAAGTGCCTGTAGAGTAAAGCACCGAGCATGGGGAATAATCATGGTAAGCTGAAGACCTGTGTGCAGCTGCACAGGTTTGATGTTGTGATCACAGAGACATGGTAGGATGGCTCCTGTGACTGGTGTGTTGAAATGGAGGAAGACATGGACTCTTTAGAAGGGAGAGGAAGGGGCCCCTTTAAGAAGGGGTTTGCTCTTTAAGCAAGACAACAGCTGGAGTGCATGAACAGATGAAAGAAGAGATAATGGAGAGCTTATGGGTTGGGATTAAAGAGAGGGCAGTAAAAGTGACATTATAATGGGTATCTACTGTATGCCACCTGATCAGAAAGAACCAATGAATCAGGCCCTCCACAGACATACAGAAGCTGCCTCACACTTGCAGGCCAAGGACAACTTAACATGACAGCAATCCGGAAGGCTCCTGGAGTCTGCTGTTGATAACTTCTTTCTCCAAGTGACAGAGGAACCAATGAGGAGAGGTCTCTGGACTGGCTCTACTGGACTTCATACCCACCAACAAGGAGGATCTCATTTGGGATGTGAAGGTCAAAGGCAGCCTTGGCTGCAGTGACCTTGAGATGCTGGAGTTCAGGATCCAGAGGGCAAGGAAGAAGATATAAAATAAGCTCCCAACCCTGGACTACAGAAGAGCAGACTTCCAGCCTCTTCAAATATCTACTTGGAGGTGTCCTGTGCATAAGGTCCTGGAGGGTAGAGGGCCCCAAGAAAGCTTGTTAATATTCAAGGTCTGTCCCCTCCAACAGAAGAGTGTTCCATACCAATGAACATCATCATGTCAGGCAAAAATGCCAGGAGGCCTATGTGGATGAAAAAGATGCTCCTGGCCAAACACAAAAAGAAGCATACAGAGGGACGTCAGCAGGTGGAAGAAATGGGCCAACAAGAGCCTAATGAAGTTCAACAGGAGAAAAGGCAAGGGAGGAAGAACCCCAGACACCAGCACACACTGGAGGCCACCCAGCTAGAAAGTGGCTTTGCAGGAAAGGTCCTAGGGTTCCTGGTGGATCATGAGTCAGTAATGCACCCTGCAGCAAAAATGGCTAACAGTGCCCTGGGCTGCACTAGGAAGAACACTGTCAGCAGCTCAAGGACGGTGATCCTTTGCTTTTACCCAGCACTGGTAAAACCACACCTGGAGTACTGTGCCAAGTTCTGGGCTCTGCATACAAGAGAGGCATGCACATACTGGAAAGAATCTGGCAAAGGGCTACAAAGATGATAATGGGACTGGAGCAGCTCTCCCATGAAGAAAGGCTGAGAGTCTTCAGCCTGGTGAAGAGCAAGTTCAGGGGGAGATCTTATACATACAACACCTGAAGGCAGGAAGAAGAGACAACAGAGCCAAGCTCTTTTACAGCAGTGCCCAGTGACAGGACCACAGTGGGCACAAATTCAAACACAGGAGGTTCGTCATGAACATCAGGAAACATTTTTTCACTGTGAGGGTGACTGAGCACTGGCACAAGTTGCTCAGAGAGGCTATGGAGTCTCTATCCTTAGAGATGTTAAAAAGCTGTCAGGACATGGTCCTGGGAAACCAGTTGTAGTAGCCCTGCTGGAGCATGGGTTGGACATAATGAACTCCAAAGGTCACTTCCAACCTCAATCTGTGATTCCTGCCCACAAGTACCTAACACTGCTCTATGTACCGATGACAAATAACTAAGAAAAATCAGCAGAAAGTTCTTATCTGCACACTCCAAACGTAGCAATGGCAAAATTTAATGGACCAAGAATAATTTGACTTATTATTTGAAAAACTAGGGATGGGGAGAAGGGGGCCACTGTAAAATAATAGTGATTCCATATACAAAAAACTTTCCTTACAGACATAAGCATCTGAAATAAAAACACATCTTTGGAAAGACAGAGATACTACAAGGACTACAAGCTCAGTATCTAACAAGAAAGAATTGCTTGAAAGCCTAAGGCCAGAAACATTTACAATCCATAATATGTTCCTCTTTAGTAATGTTGTAGCCTTTCATTATCTACAGTAATGTTGCATTAACAAAGTAGTTTTATGTGTATGCACACTAAACACTTACCAAAAAAGCCAGATTCAAAATTTAGCACAAACATATACAGTTATATTCAAGGATTAAAATACTGTCCTTTATCATTGTTTGGAACAAAGGTATAATAACGTTGCTAACTGACCCAAAAAAGAAAATAATAACTTTTGTTTTTCACAGATACAACCCTCTCAGCAATCAGTGGAGTAGCAAGTTTCTAGAATCATAAAGTTAGGCTTTGTGTTCTGGAAGTTACAGCTGCAAACCAGTATGTGTCAAATTTAAAAACCTGGAATCTTTTAACTTTCTATCAGGAAGATATCACTGACATCAAGTGGTGCAAATTAGAATTGCAATTCTAAGCCACCAAACTCAAGTCATCCAAACGTGGAACTTTCAATGGTTGATGTTATGTTTGAAAACTGCAAAGTTAAACTATAGGAGATTATAAAAACTGCAGTGTGTCACCAAGTTAAATTATGAATCTAGAGCACAACTGATTGTGAAGGAAACTGTTTCACTTCATATGTTTTTAAGAAAGATGAGAACAACTTTGAGTCTGAAAAACACAGACAAATCATCTCTCCTATCACTCCTTTGCAAAAGATCTTTAATGGGCTTGGAAGGAGAGGTTCATTTTCTTCCACAGAATTCCCTGGAAGTTAAGAAATCTGTAAGATTAGAGCAGAGAATCTATTTATAAGAACTTCTTCACAATGTATTAGTGATGAGTAATCTACATCATGCACAACCAGACAAGAGCAGCCTCGATGTCATTTTGCTAACCTAGCTCCTCCTACTCCCAAACATAATCACAAACAGCAGGAGCTAACACACAGATTAAAATAGTTCTGTTTATACTTGTTTAAGAAGTGTGTTTTTAACCATGTCAAGTGTGCTAATGCTTAGGCACAGGGGAAAAACCTCTGCTTTAACAGCAGTAGTTTCAGAAGAATGAAAACTTCTACTGTGTAAATATATGATACATTACAAAAGCTACCTGAAACCTCAACAAGCTGCCTGCATGTCTCTTCTCTTACAGTGACAAAAGACTGGCACAGCTATGAGCTTCCAGGACAATTACACACTGGTTGTGAACAGGGACACATTGATACACTAAATAACTGTAAGAACACACAAAAATTTATTTTACAAGATAATCAACTCCTAAACATAGCAGCTGAACAGCAATCACAAAAGAAGAAAGCAAGCTCATTATATTACAATATCCATGAAACATGAAAATTCTATGTCACTGTCAAATGTAGATATGCCTTCTTCCAAAGCATTTAAAGGAACTCATATATCAAGAAAGAAAAAGAACAGGAGAGCAATTTCCCAGAAGAGACTCTTTTTAATATACTTCCATCACAACTGAAAGCCAGTTCTGAAGCTTCTTACCACTTCTGTTGATGTTTCTGCATGCTCAGAAGTAACATGTTCTTGAAGAGATGTTTCCGTATAACCCATTTTTCCACAATAAGGACAAGTAAAAGACTGTGGCTGCTCTACAGAGAAAGCTTCTCCACCATAGTACAAGTCTGTAACAGAGAGTGTTTAAATAGAGATTACTTCAAAGCACTAGTATAAAATATTTGTTCATGTAAACCTGTTTATAAATGTACTTCGATGTAATTACTGTCAAATTAATCCGGTATTTAATTTAAATCTTCTATGAAGGCTATAACCTGACATTCAAGAAGTGTTCAATTACTGATGACAAAAAAAATACGGATTACAGCTCATTTGCATTAGCAAACATAACAGTTTTCTAATATTCAGTAGAAGCAAAGACTCCTATGGTAATGATGCTGATATTGCCAAACCTTTACTTTTCCACTGCTCTTCTTATCCCACGTACAGGGTCACCTGTGATATTTTTAAATCATGAGTTTCCAAAACCTGAACTCCCAACAATACCTCAAACATTTATAATAAAAATTTAGAAGTCCTCAGTGATACCACATCAATATTTATGCCATAGCTGAACCACTGCTTCACAATAATTTCAGAAATGTCTCAAATACATAATATAAGAAATTGACGGTGATAAGGGAATCTGATTATCTGTTACACACTGGGTGCAACTTTTAGATGTGCGGAATTTAAGCAATTTGATGAAAATTTGGCATTTTTAAGTTGCTGACATTCTCCAGGTTCTCCAAACTTACCATGAAAGTTTATCAAACCATGCAAGAAAAGAATGCTTTTCTCTGTCATCTTCTGTAGGTATTCTACAGAAAACATGAATAAACTTCACATTCACATCCAGATATAAAGAATGTGATTTTCTTCCAGCAAATAACTTAAAATCTTTTCACTGGCATTTTTTCCTAGGACTCACTGACAATTGAAAAATATTTTCACAGAATGATGAATATTCCTCTATAAATTAAACACAGGGTAAGACTGAACAGATACTAGAACTTGAGGTGCATGTTCTGCATTTGTTTAACATGTTAGGATTATGTCCTTCTGACAGCTCAAGTTACAGCTTTCTAAGGTTTATGACATCTTCTGATACTGACCTCCTTTAGAACATGACAACGTATTTTGTTCTTCAGCCTTTCAAAAAGATGATGCTTAAGATAAAAATGTACTTATCTATAATCCACTATATTAACAGAGGGTATCTTACATACAAATAGGTATTGAGAGCTAACAGTCCAAAACCAATACAGGAAATACATTTCTTAGTTATACGCCGATACACAGAGTTCATCAGACTGAATACACTGCAGAATAAAGTCTATGTTCAGCAAGTCCCTGTTCCCCTTATTTGGAGACTGCTGCCAGACAATTTAAAAGCTGGAAGATGAGAGAAAGGTCTCTTTAATAGGCATAGTAAGACAGCCAGACCTGCCAAGGATGAAACACTACCTGACACACTGAACATTTTAACTGGTTACACAAATTAACTACCACACTAAGCTTCAGTGCTGTCCTGAACCTAGGTTCACTTATTCACATACACAAAGAAAACATGTTAAACTATCCAAAGTTCCCCACCTACTAAGTCTTAGCTCTCCAAAGCAGCATCTGAGGTTCCATTAAATGCCTCATACAATAAGGCACAGAAGTAACTTTTCATTAGAGAATGGAATTGCGTATTAGATGCGACTGAAACAGAGAACCATAGACACTAAGAGTCAGCATGAATGTAAGCTGGAAAACATGCTCAAAAGATTAGCATCCCTACCCCACAGTGTGAAAGTTGTTTATATAGTACTGATACAAACAGATGTCTGGAGTAATCATCAGCGGGAAATCCCAAAGGTCTTTGTACAACATGTGTCAGGAGTCAGTTCTGAATAAACCTAAAATTTAAAATTTGAAAATTTTATATTCAAGCTTAAAAACTTGCATATAAAAGTAGTTTCTGCATCTACTATGCAAAAAGAAAAAAAAATCCTGTCAAAAGTATATGTTGGTCTAAAAAGCTATCTATAAACCTCACTAATTAATGAATGCAAGTATTTTGAAGTTATTCAGAAGTACCAACTTCAAACTCCTAGCTGGAAAGGGCATGGGACAACAACTAATCCAAAGTGAGTGGTAAACAGATTAGCATACAGGCAAAAAGTATCTCTTCCTTAGACATGTTGCTAGCTCAGTCCAGATGTCAAGAATCCCAGCCGCACACACTGCTCTGTCACAAAGAGGCTTGATGAGTACTGTCAAATCATGCGTTTCTCGTCTTTGCTCTTAGAGAATATGAAAAAAGCCATTTATTAATCTAAAAAAAAATAAATAATAGTTTTTTCCAGCCTCCTTAATATATTCCTGCATATTCTCCCACTCATACCTCCTTCTAGATCCTTCTTATAATACACAACAAATGTTCATGTGCATGCCAAAGAAATCTGGGGAAGAAATCTAAAAATGCACCTGTCAGAAGTGACACCAGTCACTGGTAAATCCAAATATTTTTCCTTCAGAAGTTTATACCTTCCTTTCTTCCTTCTCAACTTTAATGTCTCTCCACCTCTTAAAATCAAAATCTATCCATGTATTAGTCTGAAATACAGGTCAATAGGTAAGTTTGCTTTTAAACTACAACATACTTTATATATATATAAAAAAAACAGTAAATACAGTATTGGTGGACAAGGGAAGATGAACTGATCCCATCTATCTGGACATGTGCAAAGCATTTGATGCTGTCCAGAACAACATCCTGGTCTCTAACTGAGGAGACATGGAATTGACAGATGGACCACTCGGTGCATATTGGTGCAATTGGCTGGATGGTCACACTCAGAGTGGTGGTCAACAGCTCGATGTCCAGGTGGAGATATATGATGAGTGGTGTTCCTTGAGTATTGGTATTGGGACTGGCACTGTTTATCACGTGGTCTGCAACATGGAGAGTGGAATTGAGTGCACCCTCAGCAAGCTTGCTGATGACACCAAGCTGTGTGGTGCAGCCAACATGCTGGAAGGAAAGGAAGCCATCCAGAGGGACCTGGACAGGCTTGAAAGGTGGACCCAAGCCAACCGCATTAAGTTCAGTAAGCCCAACGTCCTGCACAAGTAACAGACTGGGCAGAGAATGGATTGAGAACCCCCCTAAGGAAAAAGACTTTGGGGTGTTGGTTGATAGGAAGCTCAACATGAGCCAGCAAAGTGCACTTGCAGCCCAGAAAGCCAATGGTGTCCTGGGCTGCATTAAAAGAAGTGTGGCCAGCAGGTCAAGGGAGGTGATTCTATGCCCCTACACTCAGCTCTCACGAGACTCCACCTGGAGTACTGTGCCCAGCTCTGGGGACCCCAACAAAAGAGGACTGTTGAAGTGAGTCCAGAGGGAGGCCATGAAGATTATCAGAAGGCTGGAGCACTTCTCCTATGAAGAAAGGGAGAGTTGGGGTTGTTTAGTCTGGATAAGAGAAGGACACAGGGAGACCTTTTATCAGCCTTCCAGTACCTGAAGTGGCTACAGGAAAGCTAAAGAAGGAATTTTTACACAGACTTGTAGGGATAGGATATGGGGCAATGGCTTTGAACTGGAATAGGGCAGACTTAGGTTAGACATTAGCAAGAAATCCTTCACTATGAGGGCAGTGAGACACTGGCACAGGTTGCCCAGGGAAGTTGTGGATGCCCCATCCCTGGAACTGTTCAATGCCAGGTTGGATGGGACTTTGAGCAACCTAGTCTAGTGGGAGGTGTCTCTGCTCATGGCAGGGGGGTTGGAATGAGATGATCTTTAAGGTCCCTTCCAAACAAGACCATTCTATTTAAGAGCACTGCATCCCAACTAAGACGAAGTCAGGTAGAAAAACTCCAGGAGGGCAGTGTGTATGAGCAGCTCCTAGAAAAGCTCAAACTGAAGAAGGAAGCATACAGGGGGTGGAAGGCAGGGCAGGTATCCTGGGAGGATTGCAGAGATGTTGTCCAAGCACCTAGGGATCAGGTCAGGAAAGCCAAATCCCTGCTAGAATTAAATCCCACCAGGGATGTTAAGAACAGTAAAAAAAGCTTCTTCAGGCATGCTGGGGAGAAAAGGACAACCAAAGAGTGTAAGCCCTCTCCTGAAGGAAACAGGCAAGGTAGCAACACAGGATGTTGGAAGGCTGAGGTCCTCAATGACTTCTTTGCTTCAGTCTTCTCTGGCAAGTGCTCAAAACAAATGCTACAACAGGAGAAAGCAGGGACCGGGAGAATTAATTACCCTGCACCGTAGGGGTAGAGCAGGTTTAAGACAATCCAAAGAACCTGAAGGTGCATAAATCTATGGGACCTAATGGGATTCACCAGGTCTTGAGTAGATGCAATTGCTAAGCCTCTGTCCATCATACTTGAGAGGACACGGTGAGGTTCCTGCAAAGGGAACATAGCCCCTATTTTTAAAAAGGGGAAAAAGGAAGACCGAGGGAACTACAGGCCAGTCAGTCTCACCTCTATGACTGGCAAGGTCATGGAGCAGAACCTCCTGGAAAGTCTGCTAAGGCACATGGAACATAAAGAGGCGACTGGTGACAGCCAACATGGCTACATTAAGGGCAAGTCACGCCTGACTGATCTGGTGGCCTCCTACAACAAGGCTACAGAGGTGGTGGATGGTGGCAGAGCAACTGACATAACCTACCTGGATTTGTGCAATGTGTTTGATGCTGTCCCACACAACATACTGGTCTCCAAACTGACAAGGCATGGATTTGACAGATGGACCACTCGGTGGATAAAAGATTGGCTGGATGGCCACACCCAGAGAGCTGTGGTCAATGGCTCAATATCCAAACGGAGGCAGGTGACAAGTGGTGTCCCTTGGGTCAGTACTGGGACCAGTGCTGTTTAACATCTTTGTTGGAGACATGGACAGTGGGATTGAGTGTATCCTCAGCAAATCTGCTGATCATACCAAGCTGTGTGGTGAGGTTGACATTGTAGAGGCAAGGGAGGCCATCCAGAGGGACTCTGACAGGCTGGAGAGGTGGGCCTGGGCCAACTTCATGAAATTCAACAAGGCCAAGTGCAAGGTGCTGCACCTGGGTTGGCATAACCTCAGGCACAAATACAGGCTGGGGGGAGAATGTCTAGAGAGTCGTGAGGGAAGGACTTGGGAGTGGTAGTAGATGAGAAGCTTGACATGAGCTGCCAAGTGTGTGCTGGAGCCCAGAGAGCCAATTGTGTCCTGAGCTGCATTAAAAGAACTGTGGCCAGCAGGGCCAGGTAGAGGATTCTGCCCCTCTACTCTGCTTTGGTTAAGACCCCACCTGGAATACTGTGTACATTTCTGGTGCTCTCAGCACAAGAAGGATATGGAGCTGTTGAAGAGGGTCCAGAGAAGGGCCACCAAGATGATCAAAGGCCTGGAGCACCTCTGCTATGAAGACAGGCTAAGAGATGTGGGGCTGTTCAACCTAGAGAAGAGAAGGCTTCAGGGAGACCTTATAGTAGCCTTCCAGTATTTGAAAGGGGCCTACAGGAAAGCTGTGGAGGGGCTTTTCATTAGAGAAGATAGTGACAGTACAAGAGGTAATGGTTTTAAACTGAGAGAGGGGAGATTTAGGTTAGATATTAGGAAGAAATTCTTCACTATAAGGGTGGTGAGGAGCTGGAATGGGTTGCCAAGGGAGGCTGCTGATGCCCTGTCCCTGGAGGTTTTTAAGACCAGGCTGGATGAGGTTTTGTGCAACCTGATCTAGTGGTAGGGTTCCCTACTCATGGCGGGAGGGGTGGAACTTGATGATCTTTAATCACCCTTAATGATTCTATAGTTCTATGTTAAACAGGAGTGGCCTCCGCACTGAGCCCTGGGGACACCATTCATGACCGACCGCAAACTGAATTGAACTCCATTGAACACAACTCTTTGAACCTGGCTACTCAACCACTTCTTTTATCCAGCAACGCATGTGCACATCCGAGCTATGAGCAGCCAGCTTCTCTAGGAGAATACTGTGGGAAACCTTGTCAAAGGCCTTGCTAAAGTGAGGGTAGGCAACATCCACAGGCCTTCCCCTCATGCAAAAAATGGGTCACCCTGTTGTAGAAGGAGATCAGGTTAGTCAAACAGGACCTGCGCTTCATGAGCCCATGCTGACTGGGCCTGATCACCAGGTTGTTCTGCATGCGCATAGTGGTACTCAGGACGATCTGTTTCATCAGTTTCCCTGCTACTGAAGTCAGACTAACAGGCCTGTAATATCCTGAATCATGCTTCCGTCTCTTCTTATATATGGGGATTACACTGTCTGATTTCCAATTTGCTGGCAATGCTCTTCAAAATGAAGCATGGTGATGGGCAAGCACAAGCTGTTTCAGGAGAAATTCTGCTTGGATAAAGAGAAACAAAAAAGCCCAACATTCACTGTAGGAACTAAATGCTGGAACAGGCTGCATAAAAGTGATGAAACCTCCCTTGAGGGAAACATCCAAGACTTGGCTTGCCAGGATAGTCCATCTCATATCCTTGCTTCAAACACAAGGTTAGATCATATGACCTCCAGAGTCCTCCCTTCCAAACAAACTAGACCATTCTATGATGCTTTGACCTGGCAAGATACATACCAGACAGTTCTTATAGCGGTCTACAATCAAAATAGCCTAAAGATTAACCCAACCAGATCTCACACTGCCACGTTATTCAGGTGACAATTATTTAAGCAGCTCCCTAGGAATTAGGCACAAAAGGTGGCAGGATCTTCTGCCATGTAAGCACCTGAACTGACAAGTTAAAAGCACACTTACTCTCTATGTTGACAAAAGTAATATTATTATTTTAGCAGAGAACTCAACTAACAAATTGTATTACTTTCTTCGCCAGTACAACCCCCTTAAAATGGTGGGGGTATTGTGAAAGCCAAATGCTTAAAATCATAAAGCATTGTAACAGCATAGGATTCTTTTTTGGGAGACAGAAAACTGGGAAAATTGCTCTGAACTTCTTCGTTGTCCTGACCAACTGTCCTACAAAAAGCACAAAAGTACAATGACTGCCTGGTAAGCACATTCCTACTCTTTACACAGGCCTATTGCAATTGTACTCTTTGACCCCTCAGAAATAAACTAATTGGATTTGTGCTTTAAAGGCCATTTGTCATTACATATGAGACTTCATATTTTATTTTAAGCTCTGTCCCTGTTATGGCAGCATATCACTCTTGGGGTGTGTATTAAAGCATTTTTTTCAGTGTCTCTTGAGGGGATTGAGAACAACAGCACTGCCATTGTTCTCAGTCCCATCTTGCTTCAAAATTAATACTAGGTCATACACTGACTTCTAAAAGACAAATACGCCAACCAGATGGTACAACAGGGAACACGTGTGTACCTCAAAATCACTAGGGCTTTTTGTATTCAGCGCTCTCATACAGGGTCCTATACTAATTTGAGACTCAAGGGAGAGAAAATAAATCAAGAAGTATTGAGATGACAACAAAAGCAACTACAGAGAAGTCCATTTTTTTACACTATACTCTGTAACATTACTACAGTACCTAGCAATCCTAAAAACTCAAAGAATTTTCAGGGAGGTAAACAACATGTTAACTTTTTTTTATGCTGAAACAACCCCAGATGCATAGGATTATCCATGTGATTAGCTGTCCACCATGAGCCTAAACTTGGTTTGTTTGTTTGCTTTTTAGCACAGAGTACTCCAGTGAACTCCACAGCTGTCTGCATATAGACAGTGCTGGCCAGAACAGTGATGGGAACTACAGGTACAGAGTCCTTTTTCATCAGCTGCAGATGGGCCTTGAGCAAGTTACCCGCTGGTCCACAGTGGAGCTTTAAAAATCAGAAAAATTACACTGACTTCCTCTGAAGTGCTTGCATTAATTTTGCAACAGAAGAATCCCCCACTCTGCTTCCTTCTTCTTGGAAAATATTTGCCTTTTACCAGCTGTAGACCGCCCTCACCACCATCAGCAATAACTGCAAGCTTACTTCTACTAAAAACAGTTTCAATACCTTTCAATCAAAGCTGATTTCAGTAAACCATACTGAAGTTTGGCAGTGGCCAGGTAAACTAAAATTCACGCGTCCATCTACAACAACAGCCTTCCACTCTGTGTTTCTGCTGAAGTTCTCCTTAGGAAAATTCCCCACCTACACTGTCATGCATTAGAAAACATTCTCCTTTCATTTATGTCATTAGAGGCAGCTTCATTACTTCTATGCCATTTAGTTTTACATTGCCAACCTTCCCATTGAGCTTATCCTCTTTTAACCCATTACAATCTTCCTTGTTTTTTTTTATTCTTCACTAGTACAGCCATCCTGACAACTCTGAAACAGATCATTCTAGACTACTTCTACCATTCATAACTGATTTTCTAATTAAACTTAACACTCCTTAGCTCCTATATTTTTTTTATGTTCCTCAAAATCACATGATCTCCTTAGTTACTAAGAGCCCTCTAAAATGTTGCTGCAGTTTCGCTAAGCTACAATATTGTAAAGGCACACTCCTTTATGTCTCACATTCTACTAAATAGTTAAAAACTAACTCCTCTCTGCCCCCACAACATACACAAATAAAACACATTAAACCAAAACATGCATTTATCAAAAGCTTCCAAAAGAGAAACATCCAAGTTGCAAGAAACAACATACCTTTCCCAGAGATTCTTACATTCTGATGACAGGCATTAGGAGATAAATATTTAGAACATGTTTCCTCATTGCTGTGCATTGAAAGCTTTGACATTTAATATTAGCTTAAGGCTTCACAACAAGCATATTTCAATCTTCTTTCCCCTATGATGAACATTTGATGTTTATGGCAACACTGTCCTTTTAGACCACGTGTAACACCCCAAAATAAAACTGTTGCTAACAGGCCAAGACGTTTGAACTGTGCACCTCAAACATTAACCAGAAAACCAGAATCCTGAACTAATATACTTTACGCATAGAATTTTACCTCATAACTGAGACAAAAAAAAAAAGAAGCCCGAGAAGACACATATGCAAACTAAAATGGTGGTTTGCATTTTTCACAATGCACTGAATTATTTCCTTCCAAACCCTGGACTGTTGGGGCCTGCATTTCTGAAGTTATGACCCAGCAATCTTAGGGCAAGCAGAGGCCTGAGATGAAAAGAAAATGAAAGACATCTTCATTCAAAGGCCATTCTAAGAATCCAACTGCATGTTTCTATATAGAGCTATTCTGCAGTCTTAAAAACAATAAAGAAGTAAATTTTACTTCTGTTTCAATCAAAAATGTAAACAGGTCACCATTCATAAGAAAACACCATATTTAAAGAATTTAAAGAATACAGTTGGAATAACTTAAAAAAAAATATTTAAATGTGAATGGGGTTAACCCCTGGGGTTAACAAAAACAATATGTATCCTGCATCAGCAACATCTTAGAGAAGACGTTTGTCACAGAAGTATCTCATGAGTTACAGCCTGTTACAAATATGATGCAATAGAAACAATAAGAAGGATAGGAGACAAAACCATTATTTTTTTTCTTTTAAATATTGATGTGACTTTTCAGTGAGAAAGAATTCAGTAGAATATCAAAGTAGTTTCAAGGAGACTATACGCTAGTCCTTGCCACTTACATACTCAGCACAGTCCATCACTATCCCTGCTGTATCTACAGTCCCACATAAACCACCAGTGACTAAAATTCCTACAAAATCTCACCAGGATTTTTCTGCTTGTACACTGTAGCACTTAGGTAAAGCATACTAGGGGAAAAAGATTGCCACTTCTTCTGAATTGAAGTTAATTAGGAGCACTAATTGGCATTAACTATATTCATATTATTATTCTGTTATTTTTATTTATTTACACTATTAATATATTAAATAACAAAGATTAAAAATACATATGTATAAATTCAAAAGAAATATATACATCAGTTTCTGTATGCTAAAATCAAAGAAAACGTGCCTGTTTTTTAGGACATGAGAATTTCTTCTTATTTTCAGTGTGCTAATGAGGGAAATGATTAATAAGTAGAAACATGAATATCCATATTGTCTTTGTAGATACAACATAGCAGCAAATTACTAGAGTTTGAAATTATCACTTACCAAAATCTACTCTTGTTAGTATGCACTGCATTGGATGGTCAGTTGTATGCCTTGTAGTTGTTGCACCACTTTCATAACAAGTTGCACACAGATCGTAATCGTAGCAAATTAAACACTTGTATCGGCGACCTCGAAAATTTCCTTTTAAACATGCATCACAGCTGACACCTGTAAACAAATAAAATTGCTTTAAAATGGCAATAAATGCACTCTTTTTTTTGAATGAGAGGCAGATGTGCTGCGATTGTCTCTCAGCAACTGAATGTAGTGAGACAAGGCCTTGCATTTGGGAAAACATCACCCAGGAATGCAGCACAAACTGGGATGCACCTGGCTGGAGAGTAGGTCTGTGAAAAGGGACCAGGATGTCCCGGTGCACAAGCCGCTCAACATGAGTTAACACTGTTCTGTAGCAGCAAAGAAACCCAACAGGATGCTGGATTGCATCAACAACAGCATCACCAGCAGAGATAAAGTCATCCTCCCCTTCTACACAGCACTTGTTGAGCCACATCTAGAATACTGTGTTCAGTTCTGGTCTTGCCTATACATAAAAGATGTATATATATAGATGTGTATATATATATATATATAGACATGCAGGATAGAGTCTGGAGAAGGGCCACAAAGATGATAAAAGGAATGGGAAGCCTGCTGTATAAGGAAAGGCTGAGAGAACTGTGTTTGTTCACTGTGGAGAAAAGAAACCTTATTGCCATGTTCCAGTACTTAAAAGGTGGCTACCAAGAAGATGAAGACTCCCCTTTAATAAAGAGACACGTGGAAAAGACATGGGTAATGAATGCAAGTTAATTCTGTGGAGATCCCAACTGAACATTGCAAGAAAAGCTTTCACTATGAGAACAGTCAGACTTTGGAATAATCTCACCAGGTAAGTGGTGGATTCCCCAAACAAGGACACTTTTAAGGCAGCTTGAAAAGGTGCTGGGCCACAGCATCTGATCTGTATTCCTACCTGGAAACGTAGGACCAGATGATCCTTGAGGTCCCTTCCAAACAATTATTCTATGGTTTCTGACATGTGTGCAAGACTCAATTCCTAAATGTTTTTATGTCTTTAAAAGACATTGCTTTGCCAAAAATCAGAATCTTGAATTCTTGCAGTAAAAGAATGGCAAACTCAAGCACCCGAAATAGGTTAAGTTACAAAATCTCCTTGGATGCACATTCCTACAGGCACCACTACCTGGTAGCGTTGACTGTTAAGCCAGGAATCTTGGATCAAACACTCTTAAATGCTAAGCATTATAATGGCTGATCAAGAGGGAAAACCAGCAGCACTAAGCAAGCCAACTGCTGACAAAAATCCACTTTCCAGCCTTTACTTTCACTCTTCCTAATACCTTAATTGCAAAGAATACCATACCATCCCTGACTTTATACATGGGGTAGAAATTAGGACCTTTTCCCATTTTAAATCACAGGAAAAAAAGTTAAGGTGTATTTTGAAGTTAGACTGCACCAACTGTCTCCATGCTGTTTCTTTTCTTGCTTATGTTCAATCTTTGCACTGTAAGGTAGTCACACTGCACATGTCTGAGAAAGGTTTTATAGCTTCCAAAGATTTTCAATTTTCTGTGTGGTCTCAGTTCTCTCCTAGTAACTTAGTTAAGTGCAAGAGAAGTGTCATCATCTGGTAATCCGTCAAGTCTCAATTAAACTTCCTTCAATTGCAGTAGCAAATAATGGCCTCCATAAAAGAATCAGCGGCCTTTTCCAGCATCAGCTAAGACATGTTCTTCGTAACTTGGTACAAGTACAGACAACTTTAAATAAGGCTGCCAGAACAAAATAGTCACATTAGCTGCCACATCTCCCCTATATAGTTTTTTAAGCCTAATTTCCAGAGGTCTGTTGTTAATTACAGAATTTTTTCTTCACTTTTTATTGTACTACTCCACTCTGTAGCATCTGAATAGAAGCTTTACCACATGTAATACAGGAACGCAGCAGTAAATAATTTCTTTTAAAACTCTGCTACTTGTTTAACAGCTACATCACCACATTTAGATGAACAGCGAACAAAATTTCATCTTTTCCTTTAGTTTCTTTACCTACAGTGATAGTTTACTGCATTATCTAATAATTTCTTTAAGTATAAACACTGTGCTTATATGAACACCAAACCTATTTCTTCAATTGCCTCAGTCTACCTGCAAGAGCGTATTATAAGAAAATAAGTCAAGAACCTTTGTTAGGAGCCTCAAAGAACTACATTTTGAGGATGGCCCTGTTACCATCTTCAAAGTTGGCTTGGTTTTTTTTTTAAAGCCTTTCTCACTTCACAAGCTTCTCTTTTCAGTTTCATATGAAAAATCTGAAGGACCAGTAGCAGTCTTTGATGACTTGGACACTGAGAGTGCCCTGCCTTCTGAAAATTACTACTTGTTAATTCAGCAGAATTAATTTCATTGATTCATTCTGTTTAATTTTTTATTTTATTTTATTTCCATATAGAGATCTACAAAATTAGTACCTACTAATATTTCCAGAAAACAGTTGATCAAGTTAGACACCAGACTGAGACAGGCAGACTAGTTCAACCTAAAGTCTCTGTCAGACACTAACAATTCTCCAGATTCAGTCATGTTTCCCCAGTAATTTCTGTTTTCCCCACCTTTTTCCTTTAAGCTCAAAAAAGTTGATTTAATGCAGTTGTAAGCCTCTCAGCAACAGTCAGACTCTTCCTGTTTCATGTTCTCCCAAATATCTACATTGTTCTTACTTGAAGACACACACATTTTTAATAAGTTTTCATTGACACAGTTTCTTCATGCCAATACTTCACATCATTCCAAACTAAAATCCCTATACACTCTGTGATACTAACTTCAGAGAAATTCAGTCATAAACCAAGTCTCAACATAAATTTGTATTTAAAACTTCAAAACCTTTCCAGCAGAAATGTACAAGGTCCTCAAACAGATTAATTTTGCTTCTTACATAAATTATCAGAAGGTCCACAATTTGAGTAAAACAGAAAGGTAACGTTAGCATAATACATCACACTATGGCTTATGATGTCCGACCAAAATAATAACAAAGTTATAGAGACAGCATACTTTCTAAATCTCTCAAGGTTAGTATTTTTCCACAACTACCACGTGCTCCCCTTTAAGAAATAGGCTGCCAGTTGGGGATGTACCACGTTACTTCTATATCCTTTTGTGCAGCAGATAATAAAAACTACAAAAGGGAAAATTATAATGAAATGCCCCATTTGGGATCTAAAACCATGCTCAAAACCCCAGAACTCCCCCTGAATCCAGCTGAACCTCTTTTCCACAAGTTACATTGCTTATTATTCTCTTTTTACAACAGCCTCAGCAAATTTAGGTCCATTAGTTTTTTCTGTTCTTCTTCAAGCCTGTTACTCAGCTGCCAAAACCTCACCCATCTATCCACCCTGGGAATTGGAACTAAAATACCCAGGCAAATAATCTCCTCCCACTTCATTCTTTTTACAACAGTAAACACTTATTTCCTCATCAAAACACTGATTTTGTTCTTCATTTTCCTCTACTTCAATCTTTGCAGAAATTGAAATTCCAAAACTTCATTTTTTCCCCCCTGCACAAATCCCAAACACCCTAAGACAACACTTTGCAGTCAGCACAAAATGCCTTTCACGAGACACATATCAAACTTGCCTACAGATTTACAAATATTTTTGCAGGTATGTAGATTCAAGAATGTCATATTAAATTGGATGCTTCCATGTTAATAATTATTGGCTTTGAGAAGAAGACATGCTCTGGAGGGGTTCACTTTGAAGCAGGGAACCAAAGCAGACAACCAACAGACAAACCTGAACAATGTGTGACAAGGATTTAGTCAGCATACATTTCTGTCTTGCATTAAATGCTACTGACTTTTAAAAGAATCCCTGATTGCAATCCTATTAACCCCAACTGAATTGCTATTCAACAAAACCTTCTGATTCACCTTTTGCAAAGCAACGATTTGGAACTATCTGAGTAAGAGATATCCATTTTAACCACAGAGTTCATTTTCATTAACGTAGCCTATAGAGGTTCTTTCCTCACATTTTAAAATTTTGTTAATGCTATAGAACTACCACCTAGACATAGCGTGTCTAACTAAATCCCTGCTGTTTGTTTTTTTAATGCAACACTGTTCCAGTAGAGGGTAGCATTGTGCTAAAAGCCTAAGGAGTTTTGCTTCAGTTCAATTACCAAACTGCAAGTTCTCTAAGTTCCTTAAGCAGCACTCCCTCCCACTGTCAATAGTCTTAGTATTCTAAGTATTCGCTTAGTATTCTTAGTATTCGCTTCACATTTTACGTGAAATTAATAGAACGTATTTAATAGTCCCATTAATAAAGTATGTTTTAGCTTATAATTACAAAATTCTTACTGCTTTAACAAGTCACCTCACATTTGCACCTAATCCAGACCAATGATTTCAGGGAAGATATCACACTACCATTTTCTATGTAGTATGCTGAATGGTGATTTTTTTTAATTATTTTTTTTTAAAGAAACCAACCCAGAATAACTCCCACTACCAAACACCTTTTGCATGAGACCAAGCTCTGCAGTGTGGTTGATACATTGGAGGGAAGGGATGCCATCCAGAGGGACCCTGACTGGCTTGAAAGTGGGCCCATGCCAACCACATGAAGTTCAGTAAGGCCAAGTCCAAGGTCCTGCACCTAGTCAGGGCAATCCCAAGCACAGAGGCTGAACAGAGAATGGATTAAGAACAGCCCTGAGGAAAGGAACTTGGGAGTGTTGGTGGATAAGACGCTCAACATGAGCCAACAAAGTGCACTGTAGCCCAGAAAGCCATTTGTGTCCTGGGCTGCATCAAAAGAAGTGTGGCCAGCAGGTCAAGGGAAGTGAGTCCTCCCCCCCTAATCTGCTCTCCTGAGACCTCACCTGAAGTACTGTGTCTTGTTCTGGAGCTCCCAACACAAGAAGGACACAGAGGTGTTGGAGCAAGCCCAGAGGATGGCCACAAAGATGATTACAGTGCTGGAGCACTTCTGCTATGAAGACGGGCTGAGAGAATTGGGGTTGTCCAGCCTGGAGAAGAGAAGCATACAGGGAGACCTTACGGAATCCTTCCAGTACCTGCAGGGGGACTACAGGAAAGCTGGAGAAGGACTTCTTACAAGAG